GGAGCACCACCGCGCTCCCAAGCGGCGCACTGTAGCAGTGCGCCACCGGGCCGGCCCCAGCCAGGTCTCTTAAACACAGGCCCCTACAGCCTGTTCACACTGCAGCCTCCACACCCGCAGGGTCCCTGGGGCGAAAGGGGTATTCAATACGTATTTGCTGAATGAACAGGTGGGAGGCCAAAGACTGAGGACAAAAACCTGGCAGTGTTTTTAGGGTAATATTTTAGCTGAGAGGTGGCAGCCGGACACAATTCATATGCACCCAAAGTAGTCTGAATCATGATGGCTATTACTCATTCTTGAGAAATTCCCAAAACACCGGTTTACAAAGGCTTGCTTCCACTCTCAGAATAATCACTTCCCTGTTCCAATCAAAAGTGGAAGGTGGACAACCCTGGTGAGAGCACAAAGTCTGAGAACCCCACAGAGGCCGTCAGCATAAATTACCTTCTAGGTGTGTGTCATGCCCCTTACCAAGTCTTGTCGGAGATGAAGGCACATAAGTACCTTTTGCTACAGCTGTGCTGTATGTCTGAGTTACTAAGGGGCAGTCGTGAGAGGCAGAGTCTAAGATTTCACTGGCTGTCTCCATACTGCCATCCAACCTGGAGAAAGGAGAGAATGACAAGAAACTTGCCAGATGAAACGCTAAGCCTTCATTATACTGGGGCAACGTTAAAATAATTCCCCTGAGTATCTGTTTACTCAGATTTTTACATGAAGATTCTTAAATGGAAAGTCTGATTTAAAAAGTTATACCTAGTGAGACAATCTTGTCTTATTTTATTCTTATAATGGAGGATCATAAATATAATTAGTTATTTAAAAAAAATCACCCCCCACTTCCACCCCATACTTTTATAAAGTACTATAGTATCATTGTTGGAACTTTTGGAAGATAAAAGAGAGTGTAAAACAGAAAGTCAAACTATACTATCTCCCAATTAAAAATGCTCTTCTGCTTTCAAAGAGACAACCTGTACCTCACAGTGAGAGCAGGCTCACCAAAACTGCCCTACATTGCGGAGGACACCATGCTACATTATTCCTTTCTTTCAAAATGTTAAGCTCTGCCCTCACAAGAAGGCCTGGACTCTGCTCTACTCGCCACAGGTAAGAACAAATGCTACTGCACTGGCCACTCTCCTCTCCCGTCTCTGCCCAGTCACTAAGCTGGAAGCCTGCGGACAGGTGCAGGAGAGCAGGAGTCTGCCGCCAACAGCAGTCCATGTCCCCCAGTCACGGGGCAGAATCAGGGAAAGTGAATCTCCTAAACAGCACAAGCCAGCACACTGAATCTGTCCCTTCATGTCACTGGTTTTCAAGGAAATGAGCAAACATACAAGGGCGCCCAAACAGCCACCTGACAGCCACGTGGGGCAGCAGAGCGCAGGCAGCGGGCACGCGCACCTGTGCTGTTTCATGAGCGCACACTCGCCGCCCTCCTGGGGGTCCAGGTTGTACATGTACAAGTAGCCGTCAGAGGCTCCCACCAGCAACCGGGGAATCTTCTGAATCCTGGTGAGAATAAAAAGCAGCCACATTCTAGACCACAACTTTCACAAAAAGCATCTTATTCAACCAGCACTCTCACCCCTGGCAGGGCTAGAGAAGAAACTCTACCAAAATGATCACAAATTTAATTTTGTGTGTTCGACACATTACCTCCATGTGAAAGGACAAGCCCACGCACACCACCGTGTTGCCTGGTGCACATAATGTCAAGGCCCTGGTTAAATACTGGCAATTTCACACAGTTTGACTTAACGTTTTTCATCAACACTAAATATTCTCAACACAAACTGAAAGAGGAAAATTTTTTGTAATTAAAACACCACAGAGAAAGCATTCACGTCTAGTATTTGCAAAGATGCACGTTATAGTTCTTTCCACTTCCACATAACTTTTGATTAAATTAAAGTTCTAACTTAGAGCTCCACATTATTCTCGAGTCAGGAGAAACATGGCAGGGATCATAAAACCTTGCCTCTTGTGCTCTGGAACAAGCTACGAAGGGAAGGGGACAAGCGCCACCTCTACTCACGTGGCCAGTGAACAGATGTTTTTGTGGCCACAGAATGGTAGGCGGACTGTGGCAAAGGCTCTGCCCTGGTTGAACATTTCTGTCACTTGAGAAGGCAAGTAGCTGGTGGAAGCCATGAGCACTTTCCCAAAGTACCCAGTCCAGGTGGTGGGTTCCTCTGGTGGCCTAGAAGGAAATATCACCAGACACATGAAGCTGGATTCTTCACTGTGACTATTACCACATCTCACTCACACACAGACAGCCCTGAAACTGAAAGCAAAATCCTCCAGACTTCATGGAAAAAAAAAAAAAGAGGTTGGAGGGCCAGCCCGCGGCTCACGTGGGGGAGAGTGGTGCTGATAACACCAAGGCCACGGGTTCAGATCCCTATATAGGGATGGTCAGTTAGCTCACATGGGTGAGCGTGGTGCTGACAACACCAAGTCAAGGGTTAAGATCCCCTTACCGGTCATCTTTTTTTTTAAAAATAAAAAAGGTTAGAAATAAACAAGTTCATGCTGAAGGCCCTGGGGAAGTTACGGAGCATCTGCTGGCAATGTCAGAGGAGGGGGTCTCAGTTTCCAGAACAGGAGGAGCCAACATCCTGCCAACAGCCATATTACGTTAGGGCAGATGATCAGGTCCCCCCTTTGTAGCAAATGTGAGGACATTCAGGGCCAAAATGATGGCCCACCTCTAGATCTTTGTGAAAGGAAGTCTACAAACACCTTGAATACAAGGCTCAAATTGTTATTTTCCCATAGCCCAGTTCTGCTTTTGTTCATCTTTGGATGTACTATAAGCTATCTCGAATATTCCTTTGAACACTGCACAGTATAAACAAACCATGCTGATTGTAGTGAGGCACTCTTTTTAAAAATTCAAGATAAAAGACTACCCCTTCATCACATATATTCATTAAGTAATACATAATTTAAATCATCTGCTTTAAAAACGGAAGCCGGCCCACCCCTTTGCTTGCGGGGGCAAGTTAGAGACACAGTACTCATTCAGGGAGCAGAGCAATCACAGACGCCTCTGTTTGCAAGGGGTGGGAGGAGGGCATCTGTGTACTGACCTGCAGAGGCCCGATGGGACCCTTCCTGTCTCACGCTAGGTCTGTTCTCCTGAGTGCTTCCCGCCTTAGCACGTCATCTGAAAGGGGACAACCCTGACAGCTGAGCCTGGATTTAGTGGCACTTGTTCCAGGGCAAGCTCCAGGATATTCATTGGCCAATAATGTCCAAGGGCTGAACAACTCTGTGCTTACGTTTTCATCCAGTCAGTGGGGACAAAGTGATTTGTATTTTTTTAAACAAATGTGTCTTTGCAACTCACTTTTCTTTCACAGTCTCGAGTTTGAAGATGTGCACGGTCTCGGTGTTGCTGGACGCAGAGAGGAACATGCCGTCCATGCTGAAGGCCAGCGAGCAGATGCTCACACACCTGGGGAGAGAGTGAGCATGCCAAAGGAGGCCTGAGTTTCCACTGTTGCTGTAAACACTGGCGAGGGACTACTACGCTTCTCCAGGGATTTGTAACTGAGTGACAAAGAAGAAAAGCTTCCATCATAGGCACACTTGGATTACTGATAACATTTTCATTCCTGTCCAGCCATCTACTCAAAAATTTTCTTGAGAAGAAACGTTTGAAAAGTAATACCAAGTAAGAGCAATTCTTTAATATATCCTTAAACTGGCTAATTTTCTTTGTAACTCCAAATAACAAGAGAACCAGGATTTCATTAAACCATTTTTAGCTGAATTAGGATGGATTTATAGTTCTAAGATTAGTAAAAAACCCCAATAATTTAAATTACAGCAGTTCTTACTACACCAGAGGGTAAATCAGCAACCTTGATAATGTGTAAGAGCTGAGCAAAACTTTCAACATGCTAAGTCTCTATAGTCTATCTTAAAAATCACTATAAAAATCCCAAAGCCATTAAATAAATGTGAATTTTCTCATAACCCTAAGAATACAAGGCACTTTTACTTTCAGCCCAATCAATAACAGTAAGGGGTTTTAGTCAATGCAATAAACATTTACTGAGTGTTTACAACATGCTCTGCATTGTACTTAGGCTGTGGTGATGAATTAGACAGTAATGGTTCTCACTTTACTGGAGCTGCTGGTGAGGGGTGTGTGTGGGTAGTATAGATATTAAATATGCTACAAGCAAAGGAGAGCTAAAAAGTGCAAGTGGAAGGCGCTAGAGAAGCGTAGAGTGACGGGATTTAACCCGTGTGAGGGTCAAGAAAGGGCCTCCGTGAGGTAGATACTCGACTCAGATGCTGAGGTCTTACAGAGTTGGCCAGGCCACCAGGTATGCCACTCCGAGCACCAAGTACAGGAAACACACATGCAAGACCCCAGTGAAGAAAAGAGATCCGCTCTGCTGAGGAGCGGAACACACATCATGGCTGAAATGAGCACAGGGAATGGGAAGTACGCTGAGGCTGGAAAGGAAGAGCCAGAGGTCACAAGGCCTCGGGAACCACAGTAAGGAGTCTGGAGTTAATCCTACAGGTCAGAGGAGGGCAGTGAAAGGTTTTAGGTGGGGGAGTGTGATCTAATTATATTTACATCTTCAAAGAACAGCCTGGGTTCAAGTCTGAAGAATGGCCTGAAGGAGACAACAGCAGAAACCAGGGAGAGCATGAGGTTACACAGACAATGATGGGGACTGGGAGGGGTGTGCAGGGAGAAGCGGGAGACGTCACAGGAGACTGACACAACCAGGAACTAACTGCATGCCTGAAATGGACGGAAGGAAGCAAAGCCAAGTACCTCTGGCTTGGTACTGGGGAGGTGGCCAGTGGTGTGAGGGACGACAAGCAGACGGGGCACATTTTGGCTTGGCTCTCTGAAGTGCCCAACATCCAGTGGGCAGGAGAAAAATGGGTCCACCTCAGGAAAGAAGCCAGGCTAGGCATCTAGACTTAGGGTCTGCAGCACACACATAGACAACATGGCTTGGCAAGAGTGTGGAGCTTTACGGCGTGGGGTGAGGAGAGGCTCTCAGGCAGAAACTGGACAAAGAAAGGGGAAATAGCAGAAGCAGCAGTAGCAGAAGAATCTACAAAGGCGTGGTGTAAGAAGACCAAGGGAAATAATGAGGCAGTAACTGGAAGGGGCTGTGGCATTTTGGCTTTGGCTTTCAGATGGGGACACTAAGGCATGTCTGCTCTATCTGCTGGGAAGATCCCATATTAGAGGGAGGTGACAGCAGACAGCTAGAGGTTCCCAGAGAAGTTGGGGAATGGGGGGGGGGGCAGGAGGGGACAGTTAGAGGTTACTGAATCCTTCCTGAGCCCCAAGCATCTCCTGTTCAATGTCCAGCCTTGAGGAGGCAGGTCTTGTTTATTACATTCCCATTTTGAGATGAGGAACCAGAGACTAAGAAGCTAAGCAATGCTGCCCTACGCCACAGGGCTACAAGTGGTGGCCCAGGATCTGGGCCGAAGCACTAGGCTCCGGAGCCCCAAGTCCTCCCCTGTTCTGCTATTCCACGTGGTGGAGGGACAGTCCCGCCTCCGAAACAGGAGTCAGGGAGGGAGTGCTAATAAATACAGATGCAGGAAGGCTGGCAGACTGGGTGGGGTAGGTGATTCCTAGTTTTTCTTTTTAAAGAAAGAGCCAAGGCCATTTGCTATGGGTGAAAGGGGAACTGGGTAGAGGTTCTCAGAGGTAGAGAGCAAAGAGAGTATGCCAACAAGATGAGGTCATTATCCTCCAATCTCAGAGCAGGCCGAGGAGCCACGTAGGACCAGACAGCAGCACTGGGCCTTGTTATGTGAGTTTTTCCAAACTCTCGGGCTATCTGGCCATCACTCTACATTCAGGTGGGATCCCAGGCAAATGAGAATGCAGTTTGCTTTTATAAAAATGTTCTTTACCTCCCTCCAATGATGAGACTGACTCCAAAATCTCAACTGGTAATCCAGCTCGACTGAAAATGCTTTTGTATTTAATTGGGATCTTCCTGGTGTTTAAGTTTCCACTTTCTTGGTCATGGATAATATAAAACTGAAATCCAAGTATTACCTCCAGAATCAATTTTTGAGATTTATACACTTTACCTCTTAACTCCTCTCCGGAACTCAAAGAGTTTTTGTCCCTCTGGAATGGAAAATACCCTAATTACAGTACCCTGTGATGGGGAAAAAAAGAAAAAAGAATTTTAGCTGAGTAAAAATAGACTTTTCCTATTACTTTCAGATCAGACTACTAATGGCCACATGACATGTTCCCAGCAACAGCTCTGCCCTGGGCCAAGATGGAGTTCTGAGGTCCTCTCCTCTGCACCCAGCTCCCCAGGGGGCCTCGTACACATCACCCCACCCTTTTTGCCACAGGAATATGAAAAAATTCCCCTAATCTGTGGTTTACTTAATATTAAATCTTTTCTTTAAATCAACCAACTTTAGCTTACTATTTAAACATTACTAGCCTTGAAGTCAAATATGGAATAGTTCTATTTTTCTAAGTCATTTATAAGTTTAAACTATTAAATACAAACCTTCCCAGTACTGCACATTGGGAAGTACTGATTAATGCTATGGCCTGACGAGGCTGCAGGGCCCACTGAGGTCCTTTCCTCCCACTTTAAATTGAGTTACTGATCAAGAGAACTGATCAGCTGAAAATCTTGCTTAACTGCCTTAAAAGGGACAATAAGTCCAGACTTACAAAATGGTAAGATGGGTATTAAGAAAACTCTTACTAAGACAAAAGAAAATATGAATACATGGTGAAATATAGCATTTCCCTGCTTAAAAATAAAATATTTTGAAGATGCTAACTTTCCCTACCACTCTTCTACTTCCTTCCCCTAAACAAGTTAACCGAATCTGTGGGTGGGTGAGACAGAACAGAAACATCTGGAGAATAAATAAAGCAGACAAGAAAATAAAGATGAACAGGACTTTCAATGTCTGAACATCAAAAGAATACTATCAAATGATAGTACTAAAACAGCACTAAAAGAAACAGACTGATAGAACAAAATGGAAAACCTTAAAACAGATAGCATCTCAGATCTGGGGCGTAGTAGGAATTATTTAACATTCAACCTCACACCGACAGTAGAAGGTTCAAACTGTTAAACAGAAAAACTGTTAAGAATATCTGACATGTTTATAAATAGTAAAAAAAAAAACGGCAGGTGACCTAAATGTAGAACACCAAGAAATTGTTTAAATAAATTATAGTAAATTCATAGAGTGGGATACTATACAGCCATTAGAAATAAGGCTGTAGGGCCGGCTGGTGGCTCGCTTGGGAGAGCATGGTGCTGACAACACCAAGTCAAGGGTTAAGATCTCCTTACCAGTGATCTTTAAAAAAAAAAAAAAAAAAAAAAAAAAAAAAAATAAATCAGGCTGTAGATAAAATAGGTTCATTTGAGAAAACTGTTTAAAGATAGTGGCTCTCTTTGGATGGAAGGACACCAACGAAGTTTGTAACTCTTGAGAATTTGGAAGATAAAATTATTTTATGCACACATATACAACAATAACCTAGGCAAACGTTTTGTCCTTTACAGCCTAAACTTTTAGATTTACACATAACTTTTTTAATGGCATATCTACTGTGCAATACTAATTAAGAGTTGTTTCATCACTGTACGCCTGCATGCCTGCGAGTTCCTTGAAAGCAGGATTAAGCCATATACCTCGGTAGGGCCCCAGCCAGGTTGAGAAAGCAATGATGGTCTAATCCCACAGACTAAGGATTCTGTGCAAAAGGAAATCAAGCATTTGCTCCTCATAGTCCAGAAAAAAATTATTCTATTTTACTGGCCTTGAAATTCCATCAGTGCTTTAGGTCCTTTGTAAGAGCTAAGAAAAAACAGTGGTGAGACTTTGATGATCAAGAGGCCAGAGAATTTCCTCGCTATTTTGATACTCCCAAAGAAGAAGAAAAGGACAAGGTGACACTGTGGTAGTCTAGCACAACTCAAAGCAAAATCAGGCTTGGAGTTCACTCCAGCTGGGTAACCCTGGGCACGTGACTTAACCTGTTTGAGCCCTCGCTATAAAATGGAAAAATGTTTACCTTACTGAGGGGATCAAATGAGGTAATGAATATAAAGAATCCAGTATAATTCATGACACAAGAAGTGATCTATAAAAGGTAATACCATTATTATGTAGAAGGTGGGTATGAGATTCAAGAATAAAGGCCATGTAGGAAAGTTAAAGAAGTGAACCTCCTTTTTACTGTACTGTATTTGGTTGATTGGTTGGTTGGTTGGAGGGGAGAGGTGACTTGGGAGGAGAGGCTATTTTGGAATTTCAGTGAGATGTAAAATTAAATCAAAATCAAAGTAAAATTCATCAGTAGACAGCTGAAGAGCAGTACTGCTCAGAAGAGACGAACAAAGGCAATCGATCTCTAAGACAGAAGAAAAGAAGATGGAACTTATAGGAAAAGAGGAGCAGCAAAAGAAAAAGAGGTAGCAGCCCAAGTCAGAGAAATGAGGACCCTTCAGTGTTGTGGAGGCGAAGGGAGAAGAGCTGCAAACTGAAGGGATGTGCATGAAGGGGTTTGAAAAAGGCCACATCCTTTAACCCAGAAATAATTCTTACTAGAATCTCTTAAAAATTAGAAATACACATAAAAGATTTATATATGACTTAAATAAATTGATAGCTATAACAGCAACATATTGGAAACAAAAGTTCCAATAGGATAATGTTTAAGTAAATCACTATTGAATATTGTACAGCCATTAAAAGTGTTTTTAAATGGAGAAATACATTATTATGCAGAGTGAAAAAAATAATTATACATACAGTATGGTTCCAATTTTGTTCAATAAACAGAAAAAAATAAAAGGAAATACACTGAAATGTACTCACATGAGCTGGATAGAATTATGTCTTTGCTTTTTCACACTTTTTATTATTTCCTATGTTCCTTACCATCACATATGTCAGTTTCATTATTGAAAAGCACAGGCTGGCTGGTCAGCTCAGTTGGTCAGAGAGTGGTGTTGTAATACCAAGGTCAAGGGTTCAGATCCCCATACCAGCCAGCCGCCAAAAAAACCAAAAAACAAAAAAAGAAAAACACACAGGGTCAGAGGCACGGTTACAAATGGTGTTCTTGTCTCCTCTGCACACGTCTGTATTTTCTGCCACAGCCACGCATTTGCTCTCATTAGACAATGGCATGGGTGTGCCTAACCCGTTCCATGGCAGCATACTCTACAGCCTGACAAGCAGGTTGTTACCTTTGCTTCTGTGTGACTTGGTCGATCTACAAACTTGTTTGCTAAATAACTTGGCTGTGTGAACAGAATTGAAAAAGTTTGTTGAAATCTTTGAACTAGTTTTCTCCTGGGCCACAGCAGACTTACCTTCTCGGAAGCAGTGGCAAGTTTGGTTCCACTTGCATCAAAAGCCAATGCTGCTAAAGGACTGTCATGAGCCGGGATCATGTTTGCAGCTCTCTGAAAAGGGGAAACTGATCAAACATGACTGCCACATAGTGACAGCCTCTGCCCCTGTGCTGCCATTTGGTTATTAGGCTGAAAATGCCAGTCAGCTGTTACTAAAATACCATTACAGTCACTGCAAATATCAAATCCACTTGAGTTACTGGGGCTGGGGGCCCAAGGAAATGCTGCTCTGGTTTTAAAAAAAGCAAAGCAATTTATCTATGAAGTTTTCTATATTACTTCAAACACTCACAGCGCTATGTGCTCAGCACTTGTGGGGACACAGTAATAGAAACGGAGGCTAAATTAAGTATGCCTGCTTTGCCACTAAAGAGAGCAGCAGTGAGAACTGTTATCGCTGAGCCACCTTCAAACACTCACAGCGCTATGTGCTCAGCACTTGTGGGGACACAGTAATAGAAACGGAGGCTGAATTAAGTATGCCTGCTTTGCCACTAAAGAGAGCAGCAGTGAGAACTGTTATCGCTGAGCCATGGAAATCAGGACATCAAAGACACCACAGCACTCGTTTTCAGAAAAAAAGATACATTTTAAAGAGCTATCCAAGTACAAAGGGAACCTCACCAAATTAATGGTATCAAAGACCTGCACCTCTCCGATGGTTGCACTCCCTGGATACGCCAAGTAACAGTTGTCATTGTTTATGGACAATGCACACAAACCTGTGAACAACACACGGAGAACAAAACGCAGTTGAGTCTCAGATAAATCCTTCTTGGTTGTAGATATAGTTTAGCACTATTTAACAAGGCATGGATAAACCAAAAATAGCTGATACAACCTTGTCTGCTGATTTTTTTTTTTAGGTTCTACACCCCCATACCACCACTTCAGGTGACACCAGTATTATAAACAGATTAAAGGCCTTTGGTATGAACTGATCAGCAACCTCAAAATTGAAAGCTGGTCAAACCAATGAGTGTATATGGTCAAAAGACTAGTATCAGTAGGAAGGCAGCTTGGTTTAAAATCAACACTTTTTAAATGTCTCTTCTGTGGAACCTATAAAGAGAGAAAAATCTCTCTCACCTATAGCTATCTTTAAAAGGCAAAAATCAGAAAAATAGGATTCTTTTCACACAAATTAATTTACCTGCAGGGTTTGGGGGGGTCTCCCTGATTGTATGCAGTACCTTCATATCCCGAATGTTGTGTATATACAGAGACTCTTCCAGGCATACTATTAGCCTCTAGAAAAGAGAGATGAAAAACAAACAAACCAAATATGAAGAAATTCCCAGTACAACACATGCTCCCAATCTTCACTTAACCAGATTTGATTAAGATGCTCTCAATTCTTTTCAGAACACCACACAGACAGGATCTGTAAGGCGTAGAGGATGCAGATGGCTTTCCACTGCCAATCAAAGGGGGTCCAGAGCCAGCGGTGCTTGCTTGAAGACCGCAGATGCCAGCTGTGCTAGGATTCTAACAAGCCGATTTAATTCAGTATTACATAAACTGATAAGCTACAGCTGAGAAAAATGTGCTTTGGATAGATTTGGTAAAGATAAGTTGCTTTTAAAAACTGATGTTGAATGAGGCATGTGTAAGATGAAAATAAAAGCCTAGGGATTTTTTAAAAACATAAAATTTTATTCTGCACTCATTACTTTGCAAGTTCTTGCTCCATTTTAAAGAAAATGAATGTTAGATAATGCATCAAGGGGACGATTTATGCAAGAAAGATGACTTGGCACAAACATGGATGGCTCCATGTTAGTTGAACATGAATATACATTTATGTTTTAAACTTTAAAAATATTTAAGATGTTGTGTCCTGTAATTTCCCATTTTAACCAACTTTCTCAGTTAACAGCCAAAGTTCCAGTTTCAATCACATAAGATAAGAGGGCCTCCACGGTTACTACTTTATTTGGTCACCAATCTCAGAGGATCTGGCAACCCTTTGTCGTAATTTACATTCTGTAACTAGCAGCTCAATTAGCCTGCTCTGAATAGAACACTGTTGTAAACAGAAAATGCTGAAGGAGCTTATGGTCAGCACCGTTGTTTTGTGAGCAAGCACAAGCCAGGAGATAGTTTCATGAAATAAACTCAACGTGCTATTCACCAAGTCCATACTCTGTGCCAGACATTCTTGTTAGTTTTGGGGAAGATACAAAGAAGCAGTAAGCCCTTCATCTTAACTTAAAAGTTAAACTAACAATTTAAAAAAGGAAAAAAGTCTAATGGATTTTTTAAAAGCAACATTTATAAAAGCAAAAGAAGGAAGTAAAAAAAAAACAAAACTATAATACCAACTCTATGGCCATCCTGAAGACACAGAGATGGTGCAGAGCGCACTTGGCAGTTTAATTCAAACAAGAGTGTCACTCACCTGTCTGTTCAGCTTCACAGCCAATATCGTATTAGAGTAGCTGTAGTTGCAAATCTCAGTTCCTTTCTTAAAGTGGCAAACCTTTAGCTTCCTAGGAGCTTTGAGGCTAACGATGGCCACTAAGCTGCTTGAGAACAATCTTTCTACAATGCACACATCTTCAGTATCAGCTGGAATTGGAAAAGGAAAAGTACATACATGAATAGATACAGCTCCATGGCAACAGGCACAATCTGCTCACAAAACCAACACATGCCTAAGTAACAGGTAAAGCAGAGCACAGCACTATGAGGGTACAAAGGGGGCCTTTGGTCAGGTGACTGTGCTGCAGAAACCCCAGCAGAGTGGCACAAGACAGGCCATGGGGTCTGGATATTCTGTTATCTGCAGCCTCAGGAATGTTGCCAATATAAATAGGAATGTCCTTATATGAAAATTTGCATAAGACAAATTATAGAACTACTTAAAGGGATTCCTTTAAATAAGCTCTGTTGCTGGATTTAAATGGTGTAACTTAAAAACACACTTCCTAGTCAAACTACTTCTAAGTCAAACTACTAGATAAAGTGAAAGTAAGATCTAAAGGCCTACTTTATTAAGACAACTATTCCTAGGAAAATGCAAACTATCAATCATTTCAACAAGGATCTGACAGCCTGATGTGCTGAGTATTAGCCTAGCTACTAACATATTGATGTTAACTAAAAAGTCATGTACATACCCAAAGTGGCATAACATATTTGCAGAAACAAAAAGTTATAGGATTTTGCTATTAACTTAGAACGAAATAGGCAGTAAATTCAAGCGCCCGATTCTTTTTTTTTTTTTTT